TTTCTGTCTTTCCAATATAAGATACGGTTTAATTTTTTTCATGTATTTTTATGCTGTAGTATTGTATTTGGTTCCCAATTCAAATCGATATTGTGGATCGAGTAGATAAAATTGTAAAGTTCCCAAGCAGTTGTCTGTTATCTGGAATAAAATCCCAACATTTTTCAAGAATAAATTTGAACCATTCAGGGACATAACTTGGTATCTTAGGTCGTACTCCTTTATATATGTCATATACAAGATATACATCGTGACTTCGCTCACCGAATGGTCGTTCGCCTGTTACAATCTCGTACATAACCATCCCAAAGCTATAAATATCTGCAGGTTGAGTGTATGGCTCTCCATTTAGCACCTCTGGGCTCATATAAGGAAGTACTCCGCAAATTTCGTGGTTAGATTTATTTAAATTAACTGGACCGAAAAGTCTAAAGTCGACAATTGAACATCATGTTTCTAATACATTTCCGGAGTGTAGGTTACGATGCACAAATCCCTCTTTGTGGATTCTTATTAGCCCTGCGATAATACATTGTCAAGATTTTCCAATCCATCTTTTGAAATATATTTGCGAAGATCGCCGTCGTCCGCATATGTCCTTATTATCGAGTATTCATTTGTAGCTGGATTTTTAGTTATTCCATAATAATGAACATCCCCTATATTATACTCTAGGGCAGCCCAAACAAAAAAGCATCATGCTTATACTTTAGAATGATTCATTTTTGCCTCGTTTATAAACTCGAATGTAATTTGCTTTGAATCATTTAATGATTTCAACGCAACAACTTTGTATTTTTTAATTCGTTTAAATTTATTATTTCCATGATCCCACCCGTACTCGTGCAACTGTGCTTTATAAATAATCCCAAAACCTCCTTTTGCAAGAGGTTTAACATTGGTGAATCTTTCAAAAAGGAACCATTCAAAAGATACTTTAATTTTCCGGCATTCTTTCAACAGACTGTCAATATCCTTATTTTTGTTGAACCATTCAGCTTTATAAAGTTGATAGTGATAGCTAAAGCATTCATCACAATAATTATTTTGTTGACAACAAGCACATTCACTACAATTGTGAGCATCGTGATACGAACATTCATAGCAGTAATCATTTTTTAGACAACGAGTACATTTACTACAATGAGTATTCCAGATTTTAGATTCCATCTTGTCGTTATTGATTTGTTTATCGTTATGTATCGTTGCATTACGATTACGCTAATGTTAGCATTAGCGTTAGATTTACCGATGAAAGTACGTACATGTACGTATTGGATTACACATTTTTTGTTAACGTTAATGTTGACCGATCTTGGCTAGAAAAGTTATGGATATACATATACCGGTACATGTATATATAGTTGGTGATTCATAGGGAGATTTTTATGTGATTGGCTGATCTTAATCAATTACTTGGGTACAACTCGGGTACTTAATTTATACATTTTAAAGTACTTTTATGGAAATATGACTAGAACATCACATTTCTATTAGTAGAAAATAAAATAACTATTGTTTTTAGTTACAAAAAAGCATTAACATACTCTACGCAAAATAATCTCAAAATAATTCAAAATCCAGAAGTATTTTAAACATGTCACTATCAACTCCTCTTACTGATTCATGCATAATTACAATATGCCAAAGATAGTCAAACTGATGGAAAAAGATAACTGAAAATGTTATTGTTAAAAGTCAAGCTAATAATACTTTACCAGATTATATTTAAATAGATAATACAATTTGTTTAAATTATTATACTAGAATTGCAATAAATAGTTTATGTGAATTTCAACATCATGTTCAAGCTAGTACAAAATGATACAAACTTGATGAAACTAAAAGACTGATAAAATTGAAAATATTATATCATTTTATTTTTTTTCCAAGCAATAGAAATAATAACTAATATCTTATATATTGTGAAAATAGAGAAAAAATTAACATTATACTTATTTGATGAATTTTATGCAGTTATAGAAGGGAAGAATGCAAGATTAAAATTCTTTTTTGATAAGTTATATTTTTCATTTAATCCATTCACAAAAAATAAAAGATTCACAAATGTAAATAAAAAAATAATTCTTATTCATATATTACTTTTTCTGTAGGATTCAGAACAAGTTTGTTAATAATATAAAGAGAGATTTAGTGATATATTTGAATTCTACTAGTACTTCTAATATTTTTATAGATATTCTTGTTGATTTGAGTATAATTATAATATCTCATACAATTACATGATATAAAAATAATATATCTAAAGAACATGCTAAAATAGTCAATTCTATTCTTGCTAAGCATATAGAGAATGTAATGATATTGAATATTGATAATTATTTATACAAATAAATATTAAATATAATTATTACTTTTATTATAACATATCTGATAATGATTTTGATAAATCTGATTATGATTAAGGTTGCTTGCTGAAATCTCTTAGTGACTGTCTAAATTCTGTCGAAATTATAATAACTATTAGTAAATAACCCATCAAAATTCTGACAAATTTTGAAACCCGTCGTAATCAAAATTATGTCAAAATTCTAATTAACAATTAGTGTGTAACCTGTCAAAATTATGATGATATTTTTCTGAAAGGATTTAGGCAAGCATCCTTAATTATGATACAAAAAGTAGTTTTAAAGATGAATATATATAATCCTATATTGATTGATATCAAGTTGATAAAAATAAATCTGAAAAATAAATTCATGATGCTTGATAATTTTTTGCATAATTGATATTGGGAATTTCATATAGTTAATGATAATATTAGATTAGAAGAGTTAACTATATATAGTTATGATATTAAGTTGAAAAAAAATGGAATGCTCATTCTATGAAAAATATTATGTAGACTTATAGAAAAATAATTTTTATTCTCTAAATTGTATATTAGAGCTATTAATATCATTGTAAATATTCTATCTATGCAATAATATATTCAAAAAGAATATATTATTCTTATTGTTACTGATTGATCTGGACAAATTTATTTTAGAATAATTATATATCTTATCAGGATTAATCAAATATCACCAAGAATATTTTGTCTTTTCTTCTCATTATAGGTCCTTTACATATTTCTTTAAATAGTCACAAATTAATATTCCTTTAATATTAACTTTTTTTTCAATTATATATAAATATATTTTTGGAGAATGAAAATTTCTCACACAAAAGTTCAAGTTATAACATATCAATCTTCTTTTAGAGATTTCTTGTAATACTTGGCAGGAAATTTTGATGAATATTAAAGTGAAATTTGAATTTCTGTACAAAGATGCTGAATATTTTGCACTTAAAGATCTGCTTAATAATATGATCTCTCTTGTTCTGGATATCTATGTTATATTTTTCTGATCTGATAATTTGAATACTTATTTAGAATTTTGTTTTCATGTATGAACAATATTTTTTAAATTTCACCATAGAAACTATGATGCTATTAATGTTTCTTTCTGATATTATCTTCTGTGAGTTGAATAATCAATCTATTCTAGAGATCATTAAGGCTGAACTTTCAAAATTCTTTGATTTAACTGTAGAAATATTTCACAGTTTTCTATGCATAAGTACACAGAAATATACATAAATGCAATAAATTATTAAATATAGACATTATATCAACTAATTATATTTGAATAATAATGAATTTAGAGAAAACTTTGTGCATATATCTACATGAGCAGTATATGAATATTCTGCATGAGATATTATAATTTTGACAAAAAAAGTACCTGTTTCCTTTTGTAATATTTTTCAGAAATTTATACACACTTATTTCATCATAAAATACTCTTAACGTTTATATTACAAGTCACTACAAGTTCATCTTCAAAGAAAAAAGAAAGCCAGCAATGACATTATTCCACTAGTTGCAATGAAAATTCTGAAAGTACAATTATGTTATCTTTTCTTAGGTTTCAGTACCTTACATAAACTGAATCAATTTTATTATTGTGATGCATTTAACTGTTCTATTATTTTGCCTATTAATACAGATACAATTGAAGTTCTAGCTTGTGGCCACACGTATCATAAAATTTATTATAGTCATAATGGGTTCAAATGTCTACATTGCCTTTCATTTCTACAAGATGATGTTGACAAACACATCCAATTCTTACTAGAATGTTTGCGATATTTAAATGAACATCAAGTCGAAGAACCTGATAATAATATTCCTTGTGATAACAACGATGAAAATGAACCAGCGGAATGTATGATATTTATGTTGGAAGAGGCATTACAGAAATTCCAATTACAATGAACGTAGTTTTATTATCATTTTTAACTATAATAGTGTAGTTTACTTTAATGATTGTATTATTCGAGTTACAGTTAAATGTAAATAATAAATGTTTTTATTTAAACAATCTTAACGTTAAACAATAATTAAAACAAATAATTAAACAATAGCGATAGCAATAGTTAAACAATAAAAAAGCTTAAAATGATTAATTTACACTAAATTTGTATAATCGATCCTTACGATGTAGATCTTAAGCAAATCAGCCAATCACACGAAAGTCTCCTATGAGTTGGTGATCGAAAGGGCAAATCGGATATGACAATAAATTGCATTTTATAACTTCTTAATTAGGAAATAAACGTTACGTATTACCGTACCGTTACATGTCGATATATATTTATTAACCCAAAAATGGATATTTAGGGTGGTGCAAACTAATAAGGAAGCGAATGCAAAATGGACAAATCTAAAAAATGTCGTATACCGATACGATTATCGTTATATCATTCCTTGTATGGTGCATAAAATCTAAAGTCATCAAACGTTTGTATTTTATAAAATGTATAAACTTCTTTACTAAGAAGTAAATACGTATACGTAATTGTTGGCTGAAAACGTCATCGAAAATTCTCATCGAGGAAGATAAAAAAATTGATATTTAAGAAATGTGGAAAAAATTCGAGATCTATCAAATCAAGCTTTTATAAACATATCAAATAAAACATAACAAATCACCATGCCCAAATTATCCGCGTATGCAAAAGGATTGAAGCTGGAGTTGGAACTTGTCGAAAGACTGGAGGGTATCGCTTGTGAGCATACAGGGTGAGTGTTTCTCTGAGTTATTTGTCGAGTTGTTGTGTATTTGAAGTTACGTTGCCACATCAGTATCTGGGAAATCGAAAGCGCATCGTCTCGGCATTTCTAGTTTCTGATGTCTCTGCACTGCCGAAGCGCTGGTGGATTCATGGTGAATAGGATCCACTCTAACAATCAAAGCAACACCGAGAATATTCCGGCTGTGGATCGTTTTTAATTAGTTGATGATTATAACGCAAATGTTCACTTTTTTACTGTTATCAATATCTAGAGGCCCGGGCGACGGAGAAGTAGATGCCAGGTGTGAAACTGCTATGTTAAAATACGCGTTTCAATGTAATAACGTTGAAAAATACATAGGTAATATATATTAATTATATGTGTTGACAAAGATGAATATCAACTAATCAATATCAAATGATTATAGGACCCTCCGTCGTCCGTAAGCGAGGAACAAAGTGGGGCGCTCGGTATCATCGTGAGTGCCCCAGGAAATAAGTTCACACAGTGTGCAATAGAATCAGCCAGAGCGTTTGTATATCCCATCCTCCGGACCGATATAGCACGTCTACCCTTATACATTCTCAATATAACCTTTAATCGGCTACAAGGAAGACCCTTCGAATTTTTCTACCTCTCCTAATCATTCCTCCTCTAATTTTTCCTCCTAATTTCTTCATATGTATTCACTTTTGAGGATGGGGTACACAGACGTTTTGGCCTTTGCTTTTTTGTAAATATTTTATTTATATGTATTTTTTCTTGTACATACACTATTTTATCTCTCCTTTAAACAAATCCATATCAGAGATATGGTACACGGGTCACTTGAGCATTGACGTCCCCGTCATGTGACCTGGATAACCAACCAACGAATGCTCATTTTTTTACTGTACACGATTAATTATCTTTTTTATCGTTATTCCCACCACCCACAAAAACCATTCCAGTCCGTACGCGCGTTTCGTCGACCGTGATCCCCGGGAAAGAGCAATCTGCCGGTGCCGATTTGAGCCAAAAATTTTGGCGTGAGTTCGTGTTAATGCCCACAAAGATTGGTAAATTTTTTATCGGCTTTTGTGCCGTTATCACCATATACCGCACCATATTAGACACGTGGCGGTGGTGATTTCGAGATCTCATCATTCTTATCGTTATTAATTTATCTAAATATGTTTTGAATCATCAATGAATCAAAGAGATTAATAAAGAAGGATATCAAATAGTGATTTTACCTTCATTTGCTTCGTTTGAGACATACAAACTGATGCTAATGTTTGCTGATTCAATATCTCTGTCGATATCTTGAAAAAATAAATATTTACTGTACCTTTGTTTGGAACTGACACTTGTAGTGTCAAATAAATTAATATGAAACGTCAATGTGACTTATATTTAGAAATAAAAAATACCTGTGTTAATTGGAATGGATATCGATATTTGATTTGAAGGTGTAAACTGCGTGAGTGGATTTGATTTTCGTTCGTATTTGCAGGAATGCTCTTTGGAATTTCATTTCCTCACCAAGTCCATCTAATTCCTGCTTTTCTAGTTTGAGACACTCTTTAATTTCTTCATTTGTCTTAGGATATTCTAAAGAGCAAAGTATTTGTTTTCCACTTTTTGACATAGAATCAAAAAAGTTTTCTGGAATAGGATCCCAACATTTTTCAATATCGATATTATCGTAGATCGTACTCCGTTATAGATGTCTAATACGAGGTCATTCGTTCACCAAATGGTTCGTTCACCTGTGATAACTTCGTACGTAATCATCACAAAACCATAAATATCTGCAGCTTTAGTATATAACTTTCCATTCAGTACCTCTGGGCTCATATAAGAAAATACTCCACAAATTTTTTGATCAAATTTTCTGCTGGTTTGGTAAGCTGTGACAAGATAAATCCTTATTAATATATTTTCAGGGTGAAAGTCACGACGGACAAATTTCTTATTGTGATTTTTATATAAATTTCTACTTCTTCACATGAATATCCACATGATATATATCTTTTGATAAATTCTACACAAATGAATATATCTTAATTCTATGCTAGAATCTTTATTTGGTATAGAAACTTTAATAACCTCTTAGCACTTCTCAGAGACAATTTCTATTTCTTCAGTGAATATCTTATCAAAAACAGTTTTGTTTGAAGATGATTGATTGTTTGATATATTTTTATTTTAAGAATTAAAATATTGTTAAATAATATGCAAAACACTTGGTAGTAAATATCAAACTACGAATATTGTCATTTTTTCACTTTATGAATTGGGATATAAATGATTTAAGATTTCATCTTGAAAAAGAAGGCATGCTTTAAGTATGAACTCAAAGATGTTTTATTATCAAGCTAAGAAATAACTTGGTGTTTTTAAATTCGCTTCTGTTACATCTATTAATACGACAAATTCTTTTAGACGATTGCATTTTTTATGTCCTCGAACTTTGTCCAGCAAATAAAAATTTTAGATTTTCTTGAACATTCGATCTCAAACCTATAAATTTGATATTTATCTTTATTTATTGAAGAATAGATCATTTGAAGAAGAAGACAAAGCATTTCATGTGAATATTTTTGAAAAAATACTCAAGGTACTTATCCAAAAAGATTGTAATATATTATATTTATTATTCAATTTTTTATTTTCTTTGCTTACATTTATTTTCTCAATATAAATGAAAACAACAGTTTTGCAACGCATTCGGTTTTAACTTATTTATCAATCTTATCGAGTGATTCCTGTCTTAAAAATACTGCTCGATAATTGGTGCTAAATTCGAAATTGACTGGACTCAAAGATTATTTGAAAACTTTTATAGTTTCAGCGAGTCTACTATAATCGATAAAGCGATTAAGAAAACAGGTTGGTTCAGTGAAAAAGGAAAATATTTGAAAAGTTGGCAAGGTCAAGAAAGTAAAGTAAAATGATTAGAATTAAAATCGAAATATATACGTCACAATTAAATAATGGAAATTTAAAATTATTTTGTTTTATCATGTGATTTTTCGAGTTTCGAGTGTTAACATGAGAATACATTGCATCTTTTTATTGAAAAAGCTTTAACAAAGCGAAATTATTGTATTATAAATTTCTAAAATTCATATATATACAGTCTGTAACAAAAAAAATCGTAAAATGCGGACAAAATACAAAATTATTTAATTTGCTTTGTTCAATGCAATTTGTGATGCATAATATAGAAAACAGATATAATTAATATGAATAAACTTAATATAACTTATTCTCAAATAACACTTATCCGAATGTCTATATCCAAAAAAAAAATACATAACACCAAGTCTTATTACATTTATAGAATGAAGGAATTCATAATGCCAAAGATTTATATATACAGACTAGGATTTCACTTAATACAATTTATGACAATATTAAAAATTTAAAAATACTGGAACTGTAGACCATGTAGGAGGCAATGGTTGATCACGAAAAATTACGGGCAATTTTTCCAGAGCTCTTGGACAATATATTCGAAGAGACCTCAATTTTAACAAGAATTTTAACCAAAAAATTAAATCAAAAAGGTCTTGAAGTATCTCATATGACTATTTTAAGACATTTAAAAGCTCATAAATATAAAAAATCTCTTCCAAAAAAAGCACCAATGCTCACAGACCTTCACAAACAGAAACAAGTTGAATGAGCAAAAAAATATCTTAATGATGGAATAATAATTTATTTTCAGATGAAACAGCCTTTCAACTGTATCAAAATACTGTAAAATGCTGACATAAAGATGCACGACCAATTCATTATATGTTAAAAGATCGAGTAAAAATCCTTGCATGGGGTGGATTTTGTGCAATAGGAAAAACAAGCTTATTTTGTTTTAGACGAATTATGAATGCAGAATTTTATGTTTAAATTCTTCAAAAATAACTTACAGAAATTAATCAAATGTTTGAAAATAATTGGTGACTCCAGCAAGATAATGACCTGAAGTATACAAGTCATTGTGCAAAAAAATTTTTTCAGAATGTTTAGAAGTTATGAACTGGCTCTCAAATAGTCCTGACTTAAATCCTATTGAAAATCTTTGGGAAATTGTTAAAGGAAATGTAGAGAGACAAATGCCACAAATCTTAATGAATTAGAAAGATTTATGATGGATAAGTGAAGAGATATCCAAGACTTCATTCTAATCAATCTTGTAGGTTTGATGAAATGATGTTGTGAACTTATTATTGAATGCAATGGAGAACGTATATCATTTTAACTCATGTAGAATAAATTCGTGTGTTTTAGCTTTCAAATTAACTAATTTTTATCTCGTTACGTGTATTATTTATAATACAATAATAATTTTTTTCATTACAGTTTTTTTGTTACAGACTGTAGTTATTTTCTATTCAAAATGTTAGAACGCAGGTTTAATTTTGATTTTTGTAGAAATTTAAGTACATGTACTGTACAGCACTGCATAAGTTCACCCATTTAGAGAAATTTAAATCTTAATTTAGTATGGTAAATCACGATTTATTCATTTTGCAGAAGCATATTGGTTTTATTAAAGAAATCTGACTAAAATTTTCTCCAAGAGGGATACAGTCCGCATTGGCAGACAGTTTTTTAAGATAGAAAAATTTATTCCCAGAATGCATATAAGCAGGGCTTTATGTCCCTATAACATCAGCATTCAGTGTGCATCAATGCAGGTTTGAATGCAATTTGGCATATGGGTGATATACAGTAGCCGTCATAAGTATCCGACCGCCCGTAATTTTTCATAGGTCATATGTAATGTACCAAAATTTTTCACGTATATAAAGAACTATATAAATATTGATAATTTATGCCTTTTATAGGCCGGTAAACTTTTATATTAGGGAATTATATGTTCGTTAAACTTTAATGCCATAATACAATGAAATAAATCACTTTGGATACAATATCTCGATACCCAGTGATCCAATTCAAATGAAACTATTATTATTCGATTTGCCTAGAATAGGTAAATTGAATGATAATAGTTTCATTTGAATCGGATCACTGGATATTGAGATATTGCATCCTAAAGTGATTGATTCGTTTTTGTTAATCAATTTTTTATTAGATAAAAAATGAATTGGCCACTTTAGGATGCGATAT